CCAACACCAAAGTGTTTACCCCCCCCCCGGCCCCCTACATTAATAATAGTACGAAAACAAACTTGTTCGTGAAAATTAAATGCAAATACTGTATTTTGAAGGTTAAGGTTGAATACAACAGAACTGTACATGGGTATTGATTCTTTGGCATTCTACTAGAAGATGTTGAGTTCATGACTTTGAAACTTAGCTTGTAGCCGACGTATGCACATTTTGAGTATGACATCTCTGATCCACTGGTGAAAAGGACACTTTGATTCTCTCCTCTTTCATATCAAACTGCTTTAAACAACAAAGTGTATGAGGGGAAAAGTGGTTAGGACTGCACGACTGTTATGTGTTGTGTTTATTATTTTACTTTATGTTAACTGTTTTGTTAAGCGCTTTGTTACAGCTGCCGCTGTTGTGAAAGCGCTATATAAATCAGCATGTATTGTATTGTATTGAGGAATGCTATTTGACATTGGATGAATCTCACGGCCACCCTACAAAAGGCACAAAATGTACTCGATGCATTCAAAAGTGATGTGGAAGAAAAGTTTATTCTGGCATACAGGGATGAGAAAGATGCATCGGTTCTAGTAGAGGAAGGATCTTTTTTTTTTTTTTTTGGAGCCATTACATGAACTTATCGTTTCCCATCGCATGCCTGCTGATCCCTCGCAGAGTTTGGGAATCGGTGTTCTCATTTGCTTTGTGCTTTGCAGGCTCGCAAAGTCCACATCAGCTTCCCAGGCAGGAAGAAGAAGCAGCAGCAGCAGCAGCAGGTGAAGAAAGCAAGCGTCCCTTCACTGTCAGAAAAGAGTCAAGCCGAGCAGCAAAAGTAGCGTCGTCTTCTTTGTTTTTCTCCCGCCGTTTTCCTCGTACTGTTGCCAGCTGCTTGTTTGACGTTGCGCAGGTCGTCTTCAGAGAGCACTGAGGGAAAATCATCTGAAAACGATGAAGAGGAGAAGGAGGAAGCGGAAGCGGAGGCGGCTCCAGCAGGAGAGCTTGCAATCTGCCACGTGCAGCCACACCTCCTGAGACCCCAGGTGAGCCACTCTCTGCCCCGCAGCCAGTCCAGCGTTTAATTGTTCGCTTCGACCTTCACAGATTCCGTCCGAGTTTGACGTGGACTCTGGGAGCCGCGACGATTGCTTTTTGAGTCCCGAGTACGCGAAGAACATCTTTGACTACCTCAAAAGTCGAGAGGTGAGCCCGGCGACAGGGGCCCTTTTTTTTTTTTTTTTTTTTTTAAACAACCCCTTAAATCAAACTTCACATGGATTGTATGGCTATGTCGACAAGCCTGCTAGTAGGCAGGCCCCCTCAGGGATTTTGTGTTTGTCGATTCCAATTTGGTGCCTACACATTGTCTTTCGAGCGATGATGTTGTATCGGCGAAACAAGCGGACCTGGCGCTGTTTCCCGCCCACCAATTTGTTTTTCTTCCTGCGCTTGCTTTCAGGAGAAGTTTGTTCTGCCCGACTACATGTGCCAGCAGCCCAACATCAACGCCGGGATGCGCGCCATCTTGGTGGACTGGCTCGTGGAAGTGCAGGTGAGCTGCGTTGTCGCGGACGACGGCTTTGTTCCCCCTCTCGCACTAAACCCCCCCCAACCCATCTCAGGAGAACTTTGAGCTGTACCACGAGACTCTCTACCTGGCCGTGAAGCTGACTGACCACTTCCTGGCGCAGACCCCTATCCAGCGCGACACGCTGCAGCTGGTGGGCTCCACCGCCATGCTGCTTGCCTCCAAGTTTGAGGTACGCATGCGTGTGTCCCTTTTTCAGAGCTGATGAGTGAAACGTAGGCAGCGATTCTCAAATTTGGGGTCTATGGACCCCCATACAGGGGCTCAGCCCTAATTAAACATAACAACCATGTTCACCAACCAAGTGACCTGTTAGTGAGGTTAATTCCCGCTCATAAACAGATAACATGAGTGCAATCATTTTGTGGTGATCACAAAGTCATTTTAGTGCCTTAAAGGAAAATCCTGGTAAGGTGTCAAGAGCCAGCTGGTGACAGGCGTGTCTTTTGCAGGAGCGCGAGCCACCATGCGTGGACAACTTCCTTTACGTTTGTGACGACGCGTACAACAGGGAGGAGATACTCTGCATGGAGACCCGCATCCTGCAAACGCTCTCCTTCGACATCGGCATCCCCGTCGCCTACCATTTCCTCCGTCGCTATGCCAAGGTACGGCCTGACCCAGTCTTCCTCCTTTGCATTTTCATATGGCCACAACACTCCATGAAAAACTTCTTGAGAATATTACCCCCCCCCCCAGCCTCCGCCCTTTTTTTCACAGTTTAATTTTCACTGTTCAATTTTAGGCTTAGATCAAAATCCGCAATTGGAAAATTGGCCACGGGATTGGATTTGGTTTGAATTAAAATTTTTCCTGTTCTGGAAACTTTAAACCTTTAATTTGGCCAAATAGGCGCAAGTGGAGCTATGCCATATTATTAACGACAAAACGTCTACCGTATGATCCTTGATGGCGTGCTTCTGATGTGGCGCATCGGGTTAGCCGTGTGCGATACAAACGTAGCATCTGAGATGGTAACATAGCCACGGTCGCCTTTTGACGACCTCATCTTTGTGCCTCTTTCTCTCCAGGCATGACTAATCGATTGACGATCAATCAAAGTGTTACGAGATTGTACTGCAGCAGTTGCATGAGCACAATAACATTTTTTCCCCACTGATCTTTTTTCTCTGCTACACACTATATATTGAGAGGGACAATGAAGCACAAAATTCATGGCTGAGTTCGATACAGTAGTGTCACAGTTCGGGTTTGTTTTGTTTTTTTAATTGCAAAATATACGTGCTACGGCTTGGCGCGAGACGCTCTCAAAGTGACAGGAAGCAGACCAACGTTGGTGTGTTTGAGGTGTCTCATATCGGGGCCCGTTTTTGTTGATATCACAAGTGAATGTGACAAAGGTTGAATTAGTGCTTACATTTCCACTGGATACTTGTTTTAGTTGATTTTTAAAAAATATTTTATCAATATATTTGGTTTGGATAAAATATGATTTCTACTGTAAATACATGGAGAAATGATCAGACAAAATTGCTGTCAATGACATGATGAATTCTACACAGTCCATAATGCATGGCGCTAATGCAGAAATCAATTGTATTTTTTCATTCCCCCACACAATAAAAATCGATAAGCAGCATCGATCATGGAATAGCCATCCCGAACAGCTGAGCATGTTTTCCGGACTGAAAATGTCCCCTAGCTAAAACGCGTACGGTATCCTTGCGCAAATGGTTGAAAGAAGGGAGAAAAAAAAAAACAATGCCAGGAGGCTAAAGACGAACACATTTGTCGTTGTCGTTTGGATTTCCACTGAAGCCGGTGGCAAGAATGCCCTCGACGCAAACGGCTCATGCATTTGTCGTCCCGTGTATGCATGTGCAGTGCGCCGGCGTGGGCATGGACACGCTGACGTTGGCGCGCTATTACTGCGAGCTGAGCTTGATGGATATGGAGCTGGCGCTGGAGCGAAGCTCGCTGATGGCGGCCGCCTGCCTGCTGCTGGCCCTGCGCACCAAAAATCTGCCAGTCTGGGTACAGATTTGAGTTGACGCGTCGCCGAACGCCTTTTGGCGCGTCATTCTCGTCGTGGTTGCTTTTTTCGCCCGCAGCCGCCCGTCCTGCAGTTCCACAGCGGCTACGGAATTTCCGAGGTGGCGCCCGCCGTCCGGAAGCTTTACTCCGTGGTGGCGCAGTCTCCCAGCAGCGCGTTGAAAGGGGTCCGCAACAAATACTCCCACGAGTAAGAATGCATGTTTCTAGAATCTGTCGAATCGCTGTGGAGATGGCTGCTGTGTTGGGAGTCGAAATTTGGTGAAAAGTAGGGAAGATCAAATATCCAGCGATGCGGTGTGCTTAGGTTTGTGCATCTCTCCAACGATAATGATTTGATAAGTATCTGCGTGGTGTACATACAGTATATATTTATATACAGAGTACAATATACCGTATGTATATGTTGAGAAACTGTATATGTGTATACATTAAGGGTGCAACAATACAAGTATCTGTATCAAATCGTGAGATACAGTGGTCACCATTCGGTATGCATTGTATTGAACGTCACTTTAAAAAAATTTTTTTTCTCTTTCAAAAGCGCTGCAACAACCATTCTAATGAACTTGCGGGCTAAGTTCGTTCAAAAAAAAAAAGAAACCAGCTATGGTAATCTGACATGTACACCACTCACAAAAAGTCAGGGATATTTGGCTTTCGGGTGAAATTTCGGGACGAGCCTGAAATGCATTCGAACCTTCACAGGTGAACTTAATGTGACCTTCTCTGAGCTTTTGAATGCATATGTCCAACTGTTCAATGTTTCAATACTTTTTGCACAAGTTGCTGTTCTCGAACAAGGCGCTTAACGGCAAAATTCATAAGAGGCGTTTGATCCTTGAATCGACCAATAAACGTCATGACATCATGAGACCAAGTCGACGCCGAACAATGGATCAACAGTACCTCGCCATTGTGATGCTTCAAACAGAACATACTCAGAAGGGAGTGGCCACTGAGCTTTTAGTGTCATCACTTGGTTGCAAAAGAGATACAGAGAGACTGGAAGAGTCACAGAAAGATGGAGAAGTGGATGTCCTTTGGCCGAATCCCATGCTGATGACGTTACATTATGAACAATGAATGCCACTCAACTCCTGGCACGTTTAAGGGAAGCTTAGGGGCATCCCAAGTTTACGCTGGACGAGGGACCAGTGGGCCTCAATGCTGTTCTCTGATGAAAGTCGATTCATGAGTAGGAATGATGGCCGCCCGTGATTTTGGAGACGTAAAGGAGAGCGATATGCATCAGCCACTGTTGTCACCAGGCGAGCCTTTAGTGGTGGCGGTGTTACAGTGTGTCCAGTTGAGACACAACTGCCCTTCAGTGACAAGCCCATACTACCCAAGTAACATTTTTATCCAGTGAATGTCTCTCTACATGAATAACATGGGCCTAGATTCATCCTCATGGACGACACTTCTCCAACTCAACGAGGTCTTCATCATCAGGGAACCGCCATTGGAGACTGGTGTGCCTCAAATGGAATGGCCTGCACTTTCAGATGAGTCGCCGTGCAGAGGCAACGTCATGACATCATGAGACCAAGTCGACGCCGAACAATGGATCAACAGTACCTCGCCATTGTGATGCTTCAAACAGAACATACTCAGAAGGGAGTGGCCACTGAGCTTTTAGTGTCATCACTTGGTTGCAAAAGAGATACAGAGAGACTGGAAGAGTCACAGAAAGATGGAGAAGTGGATGTCCTTTGGCCGAATCCCATGCTGATGACGTTACATTATGAACAATGAATGCCACTCAACTCCTGGCACGTTTAAGGGAAGCTTAGGGGCATCCCAAGTTTACGCTGGACGAGGGACCAGTGGGCCTCAATGCTGTTCTCTGATGAAAGTCGATTCATGAGTAGGAATGATGGCCGCCCGTGATTTTGGAGACGTAAAGGAGAGCGATATGCATCAGCCACCGTTGTCACCAGGCGAGCCTTGAGTGGTGGCAGTGTTACAGTGTGTCCAGTCGATACCGAGCTGCCCTTCAGTGACAAGCCCATACTACCCGAGTAACATTTTTATCCAGTAATTGTCTCCTTACAAGAATAACACAGGCCTAATTTCATCTTCATGGACGACAATTCTACAACTCATCGAGGTCTTCATCATCGGGGAACGGCTATTGGAGCCTCAAATGGAATGGCCTGCACTTTCAGATGAGTCGCCGTGCAGAGGCTCGAAACTCTGCACCCCAGAACCTCAACGACCTGAGAGCTGCCCTTTAAGAAGAGTGGGATGCCATCATGCCTCAGCAGACAATAAGTCGACTTGTGAACAGCATGAGACGTCGTCGTCAAGGGGTAATTGAAGCTCAAGGGCACGTGACGAGTTATTGAGACGTTGACATTTTTTGTTACACTTTCCATGAAATTTACCTGAAAGCCAGATATCCCTTACTTTGTGTGTGCGCACATTTAATTCAGATTTTTGTAATGATTCAGGTGATGTGTGATGCACTCACATGTTTTTAATCAAAAATGATGATTTTCAGATTCAAATAGTTTTTTTGTGATGCCCCTAGTACCACGATGCACAAAACAAAAATTTCAGTTTCCTTACTATTGTTTCATTTTCGCCGTGACAAACCGATGAGTTGAGAGAAAGGTCTGTGATCGCTTGAAAACGCGGTTGGACAAAGTCAAAGACGCACACCACTTCGAACATTATCAATATTTCTTTGGGAAATTTCAATTATGCGTCTTCCAAAACTTTAATTGAACTTGCAATTCAATTGTTTCGTCCACTTTCTAAAACGAAAGTAGGGAAAGGAGGAATTCTTCTCAACACAGCCAAATCTTTTTCTTCTAATTCACATCGCCATGATGGTTGTTTTTGCATTGATTTGTGTTGTGTTCACCTTCTCAGGGTGTTTTTCCGAGTTGCTTCCCTGCCACTGGTGGAATTTGATGTTTTGGAGAAGTCTTTATAAGTGAGCAAGCGTTCACTTGGATGCCGTTGTAAATAGTTAATATGTGAATTATTTATACACATTGTTTGTCCATTTTAATTGTTGTTGCAAAAAGTATTCATGTTCTTAAAAACATTTTAAGTATTAATGTTAACGAAAAAAGCTTAATCGGCAAGTGTAATTTTGTATGTTACTTTTTATTGACCCATGTGTGTTGACATTTGCCAGCGTTTAAAATAAAGATGTTTCATACTACAGTATCAAATGTTGCATTCGTGTTTGGGGGTGACAACAAGCGCGCCGCTAGGGGGCAGAATCAGACCAGCTGGTCAAGTGCGGCTCTCGTCAGCCTCCAGATACTTCATTCGCGGGCTTTTGACCATGACGTCACAGGTACGTCCGGCTCACGAAACTAAACGATAATACACGCTACCTGTATTTCCAATAACACAAGAGTGAAAATGACATCATACCATCCAAACGTATTTCTCCAATAACGTCAGGACTAGTACTAAAGAAGGCTTCGTGAGCGAGGTAGTCCTTTTTCAAGGTTTTCACATTGATTCAATCAAGTAAGAACTAAACCTCGCTGTCATACATAAAATACTGTATATAGGAAAGCACATGTAATACTGTTTGTAAGAATGTATATTTTAATCAAAAAAGTTTAGGCTTTTGCACTAATGTAACCGTTCATTGTACATAAATGTTAAGAGCGTGTGTCCCGTAAATTTTTGTTTACATTTTTGTCACAAAGACAGACTGAGGGCTGAGTGATATGGCTTAAAAATCATCATGGAATAAACTGAATTTCCTCTGGTTATGTTGGAGGTGCATCTGCAAACAAGTTTTTGTCATGCTTTCAGTTGAGGTCATTTTTTTCATCACCCGCACCATGGGATGTTTTAAAAAACATTTTGTCTGTATCGTGGGACAATTATTACTTTATTGTGTGTGTGGACATATTAAGACGTTACTATTTATTCTATCAAGAAAATCTACATGCTTTCATTGGAGACATGTCCATTGGGTACCTAATAAAGTGTCTAAAAACAAACAACGGGAAGTGAGCACGTAAAATTGCGACGTGACGGCGAGCCTGTGACGTAACGGGATGCGGCCGAGCCCCCGACGACGATTGTATCGTGCAAGTCAATCGACGACCGAATCCCACTCTTGTTTCGCGTCAGCTGCAAGTAACCGTGGAGGACGTGGCACTTCGAGGATGTAAGTAAGTGACAAAAAGTTAAGAGAACATTTATTGGCAATATTACCAATTGTAATGCTCACAGTCACACTCGTGGTGGAGATTGGTCACAATTGTTTGCATGTACTGGCGTGGCACGTTTGATACATCGAAGTTGTGCAAGCAAGTACAAATTTATCCGGGGAAAAAAAGCAACAGAGGCAGAGTCCCTGTTGGATTTCTGCACCCCCCCCCCATCAATAAATACAATAAAATGTACTGCATACAATAAAATGTACTGCATGAAAGGCCACTATAGTTCATGATGATCTTCAAGGCCCCCCCCATCACTTTGCGATAGCTAGAAAAAGAAAAATAGAGCAGGGTAGCACAAACGTAAGCTTGGAGAGCTTTCCCGTCATCAATCTGTGCATTTTGATCATGTTGGAAATCAAATGCTAAATATGAATATGAATTGGGAGAGTTAAGCGTGGCTTTTGATCTAATTATGATTAGCTGTTGGGAGCTTAAGTCATTATCCAAGAGATCATTTGAAAGTACTTTTTTTTTCTCCATTTCCCTCAGGCCTCACTCTGCAATGTACGCTTATACGTCCAAAAGTACTCGTTCACCTGCCTTGACTCCCATTTAAATTCAAGTGATATCCCATTCTTCATCTCTGAGGTTTCATATTATAGGATTCATATCCTGCTCTTGTGTTTTTGCCAGAGAGCAAAGAGAGCGAGTGTGGAAGCCGCAAAAACGAGACGCGCCATCAACGCGACACGTTGACGCAACATCCCATCTGTGATTCAGATGCTTGCAGGTGAGCTCACTTTTACAACATCATTTCAATACCCTACAGACGATTTCACCGACCCAAAAATAGCTGCGATGAGAAACTAAAATAAACAGCCGTTGATCAGTCAAATGACAAAGACGACTCAGGAGCCCTTTCTGACTTCATTACCGTCCCATAAGTAAAGCTTCAGTTGGTCGACCGACCCCAATGAATACTGAACAACTCAAGATGTTTTAAGACCAGTCCATTTTTCCAAAACAAATGCCAACATTGACCTTTGTGTCCATTTGTGTTGTGATGTCTTGCTCTTCTTATAGTGAATATATTTTGACATTTATCCCGTGGCCAAAATCAAACACTGCACTTGGGACGCATCATCTTTTTGTTTTTTTTTCTCAAACAGAACAATGCATCACCGGATTGATAACCTATACTCCCTACTAGGGGTCGTTCCAAGCATCGAGAAATCGATGTTTGGCCTCACTGCCCTGCGAATTCTGTATAGATTCAGCACATTCTCTGAATGGATTCGTTGCCTGGCCAGTGGGCGCTTGGCTGCCTTCCATCAAACAACAAGTAAACAGCGACGCAAGCAAACGGCAGCCCCTTCACCTTTGACCTCTGACAATTTGCCACTTTGGATTCTGAGTGCAAATGCACAAGACAGGAAATAGGCAAAAGGAAAAAGTTCTTCTTGAAGCTGTGCCAGGCATAAGTTGACATTTTTGTCACAATTTCCAAGAGGAAAGAAATGAATGAATGAGGGTGGGCACATAGTGACAAGGGGTGGCCTTGGCCGCACCTCGCCATCCCATAGCTCCGCCCCTGCTTTGGAATACATTTGGTTTCCCTTCAATATGACCTTGATGGCCTTCTGCTTCGACCTCTTTCTTGAGTTTGTGATTTTCACAGCGTGTCACGTCATTAAACAGTACAAACGTGCATACGCATTGAAATCCACTGGCACAAATCCACTTTCCAATCCATTTATGGGCATTAATCAGGTGTCGTGTCCCTTGCGCCCTTGCCTAATCTCTCTTTTTAATATTACACACACACACACGGGACATGCATGTCAGAAAAACGGCCCACCAATAGGAATGAACACACACACACACACACACACACACACACACACACACACACACACACACACACACACACACACACGCACTCTGGCTTCTCTCTCTCTCTCTCTTTCTCTCTCTCTCTCTCTCTCTCTCTCTCTCTCTCTCTCTCTCTCTCTCTGTGTGTGGCCACCCCTCATTATGCGGCGTTATGCAAACAGGACTGCAACATTCCAGAAAGCTCTTGTGTCTTATATAAATTCAAAGTGGAGCACATACGCTCACGCCTACAGGTGTAATGCGCACACACACAACACATGCGCACACACTCGAGCGGCATTACATCCGCCCACCCCAACATGACACAAAATGTCTTTTAAAAGATGGCTGCCCTGCGTCATCAGCTGGTTCGTCTTTTTTATTTATTTTTTGCTGTCCCCTCCTCACTTTTGTTACTTTTCTGTCCTTTGATGCCGGACCGCATCACAGTGACAGCTAACAATATCCTAATATTTTTTTTTTCTCTTTATAAGTGGCCTTTTCAGGAATTGAAAGTGGGTCTGCAATTAATTGCCCAAGCTAAATTGTTGTGTTGGATTGCAGGTGGCTGGAAGTTTTTTATTTTCTGTAATTTTTTTTGGCATCCATGTTTGTTGAGGCTCAGCTTGAAGGTGTCCTTTGCGTCATGTCCTCAAAAGTTTGCACGTGTTCAATTGTTCCGGCAAGCTGAATGACAACCGCTGAGCGATTTTAGCAGAAAGAACATGTTTGTGGCCTACGCTTGCCGTCTGTCTGGCAGGCACAGAGAAGGCCTCGCCAGCATCTGGGATGCGCGGCAAAACAAATTGGCCGTCTGGAATATTCTTTTTTGGCTCTCTGTAGCGCCAACTGACGAAGTGATCCAAAGGCGCATTTTCATTGAGAGGTTTTCCAGAAACACAGCAGACGCGCTCGAGTCTTAATCTTGGTTGTGTGTCTTCACCATGAAAACATGGTGGTCGTCGGGCAGAAACCTCCAAATGTCCAAATTTGGCCCATTACAAATGATTAAGCACTTCAGATGAAATTGTTGAAAATGGCGGCTTAACGGTCAACAAATGCGCCCTTTGTGTTCCTGGAAAGTGGTGCTTTTGGAGATAAGGTCGGTTTCCGCTCGACGTTTGTTTGTCCACACAGAACTTCGTACAGTGGTACCTCTACTTCTGAAATTAATTGGTTCTGGAAGAAATTTCTTAACTAGAAAAATTTTTTAAGTAAAGACACGTTTTCCATGTAAATGCCCTAATCCGTTCCAAGACCCCCCAAAATTCAGACATAAATGTTTCCTATAGCATAAAAATGCATCAAAATATGTAACAAATACATGTTAGATACAATTAGATTATTGCATAACAAATGAAAGTTGAGCACAATGTGAAAAACAAAGAATAAAGAATAAAAATGATGGTCATTTAACTTTTAACTGAGTCCTCATTGTTTTTTTGCCCTCTTTAGTCCATGTTTTTTCTCAGAAGTGGTTTTTGCCTGGCGTTTTGTAAAGAACTGATCCAAGGACGTTGGCTTTTATCGGCTTTTAACAATCCTTCGAAAATGTCAAAGGCGAACATCAGCATAGTGAGCGATCGTCCGACTGGTGAACAATTTTTCTTGGTGATTCACATTTACGTAAAACTATGATGAGGACGCTGCATTGACGCATATCTACTGTATATAGCTACACACAGACAAACAGTAGAGGTCCCTTAGCCAATGGGATGCCAGGATGATGTTTGGTAATAGCCAATGGCAGAGCAGCTAGAAGTATTTTTGGGTTTAGGAAACTCTGAGCTGCGAACAGCAGGGCATACTGTATTTTTACCTTTCATCTCTTGAAATTTCTTTCGTAACAAGAGGCAATATTTTCCTGTTGAGACGTTTCATAACTAGAAAATTTCGAATGAAGAGACGTTCATGTGCTAAGCTCAGTGTTGTTTGAATGACAGACCAAATAATGAAAACCCCTGTTTTTGTCGCTGCGCGTTTTGCGTCTGGCTCATAGAAATGTGTTTGTGTTTTTTTTCTTTTCATTTTCTTTGCGTTTCGAGGCACGCAGTTGTATTGTGGAACGGTTGACCTAACCACCATGTTGGGTCACTCACTCATCAGTGCAACAAAAGACGATAAATGCGACGGTGCCTCGATGCCTGTAACCCCTCGGGGTGTTTTTTTTGTGGCACGCGCAGAAGAGCTTTTGAAAGAAAATGTGTAGACGCTGGACAGCTCCGGCCTTGGAGTGTTGGCGTTCATGTTGTGCTGATACTGAATGCTGCTTCGTATTGTGCCTCCAAACAAGTCGGGCGGATTAAAGTCCCCCCACCCGCTCCCCCTCGTTGGTGGATTGGAGCAGTATTTGTGTTCATTGTTCATTGTTGAATTTGTCTGCTTTCTATAAAATGTGGACGCAGTCAAGGGAGAGGAGGTCCTTTTTATACTCGTTTAATTTGACTTCACTCATTTCCACTTTCCACATTCCAAACTCAAGTCACTGGTATCTCAAATGATCTTTCTCCATTGAAATGAATGGAATTTCCATTAATCCGTTCCATTTCCTCCCCCAAAATACATTTTGCATCATGATTTCATGCTTCACATGAATGCTTATTGTGTTGCTCCTTATGGCATGTCTCGGCCACTAGGGGGCAGTGTAATCCATACATATTGCATGTAGGTTTATAGATGAAACGTGTAGAAGACTTGCAACGAAGCTGTATTAATACTGGTGGGTTTTTTTTTCGTTTCTTTTCCAACGCATACCTCATATGGTACGTTATGTTACTTATTGTGTCTGAATTTCCAGATCAAAGCTGCTAGTAGCGCTCTGACGGAAAATGGATGAATGTCCTTCATCATCACCATCGTGAGCCTTCAGATTTTTCACTGCGTGACTCCAGACATTTTCCTTCATGGAAATCCTTGATCTTAGCAACAACGCTGCAGGAAAGTCTGCTGTCAAGTTCATGTGACTTATCACTCTTTTTGATAGGACAGCATCCTCTGCTCCCATTCAAGGACAGTCAGGCTAATGAAAATTGGCGCTAGCTGTAACCCTTCCAACAACTGCTACTTGAACACACATGGTGCAACAACCTACAATACAGTCTGTTTGTTGCAGTACAGTCAGGGCACACATTTTTCAATTCAAACTTGGCCTTGTACTCTAAAATTCCTTCAACCAATCACTTGACAATGTGTAATTTAGTGTGGGCACCCAGCAGAAATCACATTGGAGGGAGGCGCGGAACCACTCCAGTTAATTCTTTCTTCTCCAGTGTGACAACAACATGGAAAGATTAGCTCACACACTGTGAAAAAGCTTGTGCGACTCAAGTCCAAGATGACCTGTCTGTCGACTGAGTGGCCGTCTCGTGGTCTGGAGTCACTTCAGTGACTCCGAGTGGAGGAGGCTGCGTGTGGGTGGCCGGCCATCCGAGAGCCCGTGATGTCTCTTTTTGCCCCGAACAGTTCCCGTAAAAAAATTTTTAATGCCGAATAATTTCACAAGGCGGCTTTGGTTCAGAGAAGAAGCTGAAATTAGAATTGGCGCCATCTTGGATATGAAAGGCGTTTCAAAAGTCCTATCTGGTTCAAATTGTGTTCAAGCGCTCATACGCGCGAGTGTACTTGGCATACGGCGAGACATTTCCTTTGCCGTGAACGAATCTGTACCAGCTTCCTGATCAACATACGACAAAATAACGAGGCGCAGCTCTCTGACTTTTGTGAAGTCGCGCTGTCTTGGATGTTGTGCTTCACAGTTTCCACAGTGACGTTGCTGGATGAAGAAGCAGTAGGCCGACGTTAATGATTCTAAGGAGGCGTGATGTGCAGACGCAGTGAGAAATCGTCATGGCGACTGTCATGCTGTCAGAGCTGACGTTGAATGGCGAACCCTTAGGACGCCATCGCTTCTCCGAGTAA